TCTTTAATTGCTCTTTTCATTGTCCCATGTCCTTTGTAACCACCACAAGGCTAGTTTACCCAACTCAGACCCATTTAGGGTAATCAAATACATCTAACTCATCTACATAAGCAACCGTATCATCATCTATATAGGCCGTTGCATCTGCAGGGCCCTGCCCCCGGGGGCAGTTTTCCGATGCAGATCCAAGTTAGATCAATTACCCTGAAACTCTTACAGAGCGTTCAGCTCAAGGGGTCTGTTTGGAAGTAGTTTCAAGCTTAATGATGCTCCTTAATATCTTGACACCAAATTTTGATGCACACAGGCAGAATTGCCATTTCTTTTGGTACAAAGCCTCGTGCAAGTATTTCCAAAGAACACAAGCAGTACACAGTTTGGCATAGAGGTAGACGTCAACCCTATGTTCCATCAGATACAACAGTGTCAATAATTTGCTCAATGAGAATGCAAATCATTGCTGCAATCCAACCAACCACTGTGTTGCTATCCAGGAAGCTCACAAATCCATTATTTAACAAAACCCATCAATGTCACAAGTAGCGTGGTTTATCCTGATTAATTTCCTAGGCCTGTAGTGACCGCAGCGCCACAAAGCTATTGAAATAATGCCTGCAGCACCATTATGTGATGTGTGAATAGATACTGGGGAGCTCCTTCACTGAAGGAAAGATGAAACATATGCTATGACCTTTTAGAGAGTATGAAATGCTTTCCTCACTCCAAGTCATGGCATGGTGCATGAATGTCATGCGCCACATTTCGAGGGTATTCACTTCCATGCGGCAACGACAACTGTCAACCTGTGTTGTCAATGACGTCGATGACGACACTACCAAATTACGTAAGGGGAGTGGCAACGATATGTGACAACAAAATCCAGAGAAATTCAAAGCTCAGCTAAGAGTTGTATACAATGCTACTGGGTAAATAGGCGAATATGATGCTGGCGCTGGCAAGTCCGTGCCACGCGACAGTCAGCAATGCCATACCTAATCAACATGGCAGCCAGAGATGTCCTTCGGGCCCCATCTGCTGGAACATGTCCTGGGCTTGATGGTCTTCCAGACCCACCCGGCTACCCGGATGGCTGCAGCGATGACGACAATACACAACAGCCTTTAACCTCTGCAAGAGAATTTCTACAAACTGTATAGAAAGAGGATGCTCAGTCGCAACAACAAGCTCCTCATTTGCACTATCTTTGGAAAAACGTACCAAAAGATAGAACTACGACCACATGACCTGAAGCCGCACAAGTGTAACATGCAACTGCCGACACCGCGATGGGAACTGCTTCCGTGTTTGGTACTTAGATCTGATTTTTGAAGATCAAATATCATGATTAGTAGCAAAGGAGAACTTTCTGAGCAGCAGAATTCGCTCCATTGCAAAGGTGCATTGGTGTGAATGCAGTGGTGAACCTTGTTTCGGAGAGATAGCATCTACGGTGCCATGCTACAACCTCAGAATCACACCAAGAGACGATAGAACAGGCATCAATGTAGGCATGCTACCGTTCCCTAAAGGATGTACAGGCAACTGAATTGTCCTGCGAGTAATTTATCCAATCAGAGTGCTCAAAGGGCGCGCCGTCCTGTCCAGAAATTTCTATCCAACATAGTCACCCAACGAAATTGCGGGTTGTGGTGTACCTTGCCCCTCTTGAAGTCAGCCTGGGCGTTACTTTGTTGGGTGCTCCACGTTTTTGTTTGGCACGATTATGCTCTATATTGTCACTCTACAAAGAAATGCCAACGCTGCATTACATTACGGAAGTTTGGATGTCCTACAGCGGTAAAAACATTTGTAAGAATAATGTGCATGTATATACAGGGAAATGGCTTGTGACACAGATGTAAACCTGGTCTACATCCTGGAACCACAACATGAATCATGCGCAATTAATCTTGTCAAGCGACAGCAAGTCTAGACGACCAAAACCATACAGCACTTGAAATGCATGATGGGCTCATTTTTGTTGATCCAGAGAAGAGGCCCAACCTACGGCGACGTCGCCGACGACGGCGACGCGCCCCCGGCGACGTCTTCGAAAGGGGCTGGGAGGATGGCTGGCCGTCCTCAGCGTCGGTGGGATTGTCGCAAGGGTGTATGGGGGGGTCGCCGGGGCTGCCGACAGCGTCGGCAGGGCTCTCAGTTGTCCCACCGACGCCACGGGCAATGGGGCGGCCACGTCGCCCTTCCCGGCGACGGGAATTCCGGCGACGTCGCTCGAGGTTGGGACTCTAGAGTAGATCCAAAATTGAGTTTTAAAGGTAAAAAGTCCACATATATACATTTATCTGGAAGTTTGTGAGTACAAAATTACAATGAACTCAAAAGATAGTCAGTATTTACTGCTTCTTCATATTCTATCAATATTACACCTACTTCACAAGCCCAGTTGGACATTATTTGAAATCTATTCATCAAAAACATCATAGAAAACATTCATAGCATGAGTGGGCAGAGCACACCGCATCTCCCAAGAGGTTTTGCTATGTGCATTACTTCCAAATCGAACAATAGGAGAGTCATATCGCTATTTGGGACCCCAATTTTCAATCTATGAACGTGTGCCGCCCGCCCATTAGTTATGCCATGCAGCCTCCACCCCCTTTTGTCTCCCCCTCTGGATCAAGGTTTGTTTGCCTGCCCTGCCCACAATTTGGTAAAATACAACGCTAGGGCAGAGCCCAACTCACGGTCGGTGCCAATCAATTGCTCTGCCAATGTCCCAACCCCCATGCCATTCACGATCACTTCTTCTGTCCCAAACTGCATGACATGAATAATACACATCCTGAGTAAAAAAGTCATGGCATCTGTAATTTCACCGAATATTAGCAAGTACATGATGGGCCTATTTTCTGCCAACAAATCTTGACACATATCACTTAGACTGTTGAAGAGGTGACACATTATACAAAATGTCATACAGCACCATGGGAAATATTAAAGGACTTCCGAAAGTGCCAATTTTCCAGCAGCAGCCGAAGGCAGCTATTGCTGATTGCTACCAAGAGAGGCAAACTTAGGGTGCGCTTTGGCCTGCCTGTTACCCTGCAGTTAGAGGAGGAGTCTGACGGGATAGTAGCACATTCTTAACCACTGTTTAAAACATCACAACCATTTGCAGTATTTGAAGGCAAGTGCTTGCAGATCCACGGCGCCAGTTCCATTCTGGGGACTTCAAACTGCGGTGGCTAACTAGCCGGCAATATAAGCCGGCAACACAAGCCCAAGGACAATAGGTGTCTGCTTTCAGGATGGCAGCAAAGTCATCGCGTTGGTCCCTGAGATAGAGTATGATTCCGGATCACACATGTTCTCGCCCAATGCCAAATGGCTCTGCACTGGCGCCTGGGGCAGTTGAGGTCCCCAGCCACGTGGAGATCTTATGCATTGAAGGAACAACAAGTATCTGATTGTTTCGGCTGTTGCTAATCTCCGTAGCCAAGGACAGCGGTCGAAGCCAGCATCCTCGTCGGACAGAGTCCCATTGTTGCTGCACAGCCAACGAATTCTGGAAGCGCATCTGTGAAGCAGATAGCTTCCAGCCATCTTTCCACATCTCTAACAAATCTTCTTCGAGGTATATTCTGTTCGAAGCAAGCGTAGGGCGCCAACACATGTGTGCCTAGATGGCAATCAGTGCCACCAACTCAATGCGATAGCCATCCTGCCAACACTAGGAATGCTTGAGCAGTACTGCTTTGTGCTCTTGGAAGCTGCCTTTGCGGTTGGAGATGATTACAACCTTGCCCTGCTGTACCATTTGCTGCTGACATAAAAGCGAGTTGTGCTGCAGCGCACCGAGCTGGGAATTTGAGGCTGATATGAGAGTTTATTACAACCATTTTGCCTGCTCCCAGACCCGACACAGAGCAGTTCTGTGGAAGATAACAGTACTTACTAGCCTTTTTGTCTGACCTCCATGATCGTGAAGGTATTTTCTACTCTTGAGACCATTCTACAACTTCACTGTCATTCTTGGCAGCTGTCGCTCCATTTGCGATGGAAGAAGCCCATTAGGAGACACCCCTTGACAATGGCAGCGTAAAACTAAACTGTTAATTACTGACAAAAATGAAAGCTGCCAATCTCACTGCCTCCTGCTACATCTCTGATTGTAGCGCTGTTGCATTTGGTTCCATGAACGGTTCCTCCGTTGCGCCAGAGGGATCATCAGCAATAGAGGCAAGCTCCCAAGCGTCAACAGCCATAGATCGCAAGCCGGACATATGGATTGCATCAGTTGGGGAAGGTGAATTTGTCGTGTCCGGGACTTGATTGAGTTGACCATTTAGATCTTGACGGTGAGACTGAGTTGGGGGCTGAAACCCGCTTGTTGGAGATCTGTTGATTGGCGTTCTACTGCGGAGGGGGGGGGGCGCGCGCACAGGTTTTGTGGCGAGTGATTCTTCTTGATGTGTTGGATGGACCCAAGACTGGGTGCTTGGATCAGTATACACATATTCAGAGCAAGCATCATTGTAACCAACTTCAGGCCCAACATGCTTGCTTCTGTGCGCCGTCTGCGTGCTCACCAAGGTTCACCTTGAACTGCCTTACCTCTGTCCTATTCGGCATGGGTAGTGTGTGTTTGTGTGTGTGTGTGTGTGTGTGTGTGTGTGTGTGTGTGTGTGTGTGTGTGTGTGTGTGTGTGTGTGTGTGTGTGTGTGTGCCAACTGTATAGACCAAATTGGACGTTGGCGAACGCAGGGCCGTTGTCCGGATATGAGCAACTGCATCAGGGTCACTGGAGCTGAAATACACACTCGGATGAGAGTGGAACACCAGTGTCTGAACATGAGCTCCGTACCGCATTGTGCTTGCCTGGGTACAAAACAGCAGGGAAGCTTAACGAATATGTGCGCCGCAGGCACGACGTCCCACGTTTAATCTCAACCTCTGTCAGAACTGCGTCCTCGAACAAAAACTGCTCACCCCTTCATTTCTCAGAGAGACGGCGTAACCTATTTCTGCTCCTGTTCAATTCACTGATGGACACTGACGAAAACACTGATGAACCAGTCCAGTCTCAGTCGTGAAGCTACTTTCTCAATTTGTCTCCACCATGACCCAGGCAACCATTCATCACGTATCTTCTCCGCTTCACGTTCCATTCTCTCTGCTTTTTCCAACTTGTCTTTGGCATTTGCGCTGGGCACTTTTGCCAGCTTCCTGCACACGAGGGCCAAGTTGCACATGGTGACAGCAGATTCCAAGCGATGGCTGTCAATATTGTAGATACCCAGGGCTTTGTCATATACCTCCTCGGCCTCTTCCATCCGTTGTTGCTCCTCCAGCACCTCCCCCAACCGGTTCAAGCAGGCAGCGCAATCGGGGTGACCATCACCCAAGGCCTCCTTGGTTATGCCCAGCTGTCGCCGATAACACCTTTCAGCTTCGTTCCACTGCCTGTCCAGACGCAACGCTTCTGCCAAATTTCCCAAACTGCTGGTCAGACATGCATGGTCCTTGCCCAGCTGGACCTCTCGAATCTCCAGTGCACGTGTGTGATGTTTCGCAGCCTCCTTATAGTCTCCTTGGCATCGGCGCGCACAACCCACGCTGTCCAGACACTCCGCCACACCTAGATGTTTTGCTGTCAACTTCCGTCCTCGTGCTGCAGGAGTGTTCCTATCTTCGGGGCCTGTTGCTTCCCTTGGTCCATTCCCTCGGCCATTCTGTTCGAAACTGCGTTGAAAGCAGGACAGTGTCTCTTGGAATTGCTGCCAATGACGCCTGATGGCTTCATTCTCTTCCTGGAAGCGCGGTTCAACTCTTCTTTCGTTTCTCAAGTGCAATTCCAGCTCTTCTTCTGTTTTTCCCAATGCCGATCTGTATTTTTCCTCGGCCTCTGGGTATGTTCCTTGTGCCATGAGCTCCGCGCCCTCTTCCAGGAGAAGGGTGGCTTCATCCAACCCACCTTCACTTGAGAATGTAAAACCCTGCGCCTCTTTCACTGAAACGGATTTGCACAGACACTGCAAGACAGTCATCACACTTGCGTCACACTTGAGTGCAACTGTCTCTTGCGCTTGTCGTTTCAAGGGCAGTGGCTGTCACACAAGCGGCGTTCTATTCTGTCTTCATATGATGGTCACCAGCGACCCAAGGAGCCGATCGCAGTTGAAAAAATCAAAAAAAGTACAGCAGCTGTTGGCAGCACACCCTTCCATTCGTCAAAGGCTATGGACTGACTCACGTTGCCACCCAAGACGTGGAGTGAGACGCATGCAATCGCAACACTCGATTTCGTTCCCCATCAGCAACGTCAAGGATTACATAAGATTATTTGCCTAGCACTATTTATGATGATACCACTGCAGGCGCCAACTTCGTACTCTTCGAATTATCCATCTCATGTGCACAGACGTGAAAATGCAATTCAAATGGTGAATTCCCTAAAGTTTCTCTTGTCAGGTGGAGCAACACCAAAATGACCAATCAATTGTATGAACACTTGAACACAGTTTACACAATTAGCACGAAGTCTACTCAATCACAACATACTACATCCTGTGCACTAAAACGCCCTCACTTGGAGGAATGGCAATCAGGCATTGAACACTTGCTCGGGAGGCCAAATTGATAGCAGAATATGGAACGACCCTCCCCCCACCCCCCACCACCAAGACAGGTTTCATCTGGAACAAAGTTGCGACCGTTTCCCGGTTGTGAGCCCAAGGACGCAGACACAAATTGTGGGCTTATTTGAGAGAATTGCAAAGGGTGCTAAAGCAGTCCTGGTCACCGCGCCTTGCCAGTGAGGCTGGACTGGGGTGCCTCTTTCCAGCTGGCCAGCCCTTTAACTGAGCACACAGGACAGGGTTTTTGATGCGGCCCTGGCCAAAAGCTCAACACCTATTGCAACGCATTGCAGGCAGAAAAGCTGTCCAGTTTTGCTTTCCGCAGAAAACATTTCCCAAGATTTTACGGCACCCTGTGCAGTGATATGCATATGTGTCTGGGATCCATCCTTGCTAGAAGGTGTTCAGGTGTCTCAACATACGCCATGGCTTCGAAGCCTCTGCTCTGTTGCGGATCTCAAATGAATGGATGCCCCAGAGCACAAACACAACTCTAGAGCACCAACAATATCTGCCAACCTGCACCTGTGGAATGTCTCGATGTATAATTTCGGGCCCCTAGTGTCTGCACTTTGGGCGCCCTTGCATCTTGTACAGTTGAAGAGAGAAATCTCTCAAGGTAGCGCCTTTCAATGTGGGGTGAACAGCCTTAGCAACATCTGTGGATGAAGTGCCCTGTACAGCCATGTCTGCCCATCCACTGCTCCTGTGCGGAGGGGTGACCACAGATCCCTACAAACTTCTCGCGGTGGCCTTTCCCCCAGGAAAGCCAGGGTCCACGGCTGTGGCATGGTCTCAAGCCACCCTGATTCTGAGTTCACTGAGCATCGTATTGGACCGACCAAAGGGCTATAGGTATTGTAGGGCATGGAACCTGGTTTCTGGTGTCGCCTTTACATGGGGTTGGTTCTCACCTGCAGCAAAAACGTTCGCTATGCCACACCCCACCCACCCCATACCCACCTCCCCCATTCCAACCAACCCATTCCATTCGCCCACCCCCTGCCCATCCTCACAGCCTTGCTCTCTCCATGAAAATCCAAACATACGACTTGCCGTAAGCCAATTGTTAGAGCATCATCAACACTATTCCCAGCGAGAACGCCCGTCATTCTTCACGTCGCGGTCATAGTTTGAGGGTTGCAAGATGGACTTGATTGTATACATGTCGTTTTTTGTGTCTGGGTGGTTGAGGGCCTGCTGGACATTGTGTAACATTTTGTGATCCTGGATGCCAACACTTGCCCCGTCTTTGGGAGACATTGGGAAGGAATTGCTGGCCTTGTAGAGCCTATTGCTCACTTTAGCTCGGCCTGAGGGCCTCAACTCCAAGGGTCTCAACTCTGAGGGCCTCAGGGAACGGCCCGATCCTGCGTGCCATGCCCTCCTGCAGCCCGCTGGGGTATTCCCCAGAAGCACGCTGCTGGCCGCCTGGTCGGCGGGTTCTTACTTGTACTTGCTTCCATACGCCAATGATGATAGTCAAAGAGTACTCCCAACAACATTGATAACATATTAAATCACAGCACCAAAACTTTGTGAAGTGTGAAGCTGCTCTGTAAAGAAAAACATCTGGAGAAACTGAAACTGCAGTGAAAGAATGCCTACATTTGCAACAGGGAAAGCAGGCCAATGCGAAGCATATGTTTGCAAGTCCATGCGATGTGGAACGGGCAATGTCAAACCTGATCAATTTGGCGGCCACATATTGTCTTCAGGTCCCTTCTGCCGAAATGTGGTCTGGGAGTGGCAGTCTTCCGAGGCCCCCACCACGCCCAGATGGCAGCAGCGATGGTAACGAACAGCAGCACAATGGCTTTCTGCAAGCAATAGGACAACCAAAGTCATTCTCAAAAACAGGCCAGTCACTTTGCGCTATCCGTGGGGGCACTGGTCCAAAAGCAGGACTACAACTATGCGATCTGAGCTCATTGTGGCCCAATGCACCACGCACCCACTTACACCGAGATGGGGGAATGCGTTCAGTGTTTGGTAATCAGGTCTAATTTTAGACACACAGCAGATCTTTGTAAACAGCTGATTCCGTTCCAGTGAGCAGGTGCATTGGTGTGAATGTAGCCATAAAAGTTGTTTTGGTATGACAGAATCTACTATGCCAAGCACAAGCATCGACCCCACATCATCAAACAACAGACATGGCATGAACGCAGGCAGGCTGTCATTCACCATAAGGGTGCACCGGCAACTGAATTTCCCGCTCTCAATGCTTTTGTTATGAGTGCTACAACCGTGTTCAGCAACTTCTGTCCCTACTGGATATTCAAACAAACAACATTACACCCTGTACATTCAACAGATGTTCATCAGGACATCAACTGGAGTGTCGCTCACTTGCACTGTCATGATCGGTGGTTCAGGGAGCGGGAATATGAGCTTTCCATCCACCTGCTGCACGGATGAGAACAAAGTCAGTAACATGGAGCCACATTGCGAAGTGAGCTATTCCTGTGAGAACAAGAGTCATGTGCATGTGTGTGCCAGGGCCTTTCTGGTCAAACATTTTCTACCTTGTGAAAAACTAGCACCTTGACATCGTGCGCTGCGGTCCCCCCAAGCCAAGCAGGGTCACCGTGACAAGAATAGTTGCGATTTGCACGGCTGAATCCTGGAGACTTCACGAGGAGCTTTGTTTGACAGTGCCTGTGCAGAAGCTTCAGCCAACTGCAAGCCACTTGGTGGATATGGCTTGTGACTATTTTCCTGGGCTATCGCAAATTACGCTGGAGGAAGCAGGGTATAAATGTTCAACAGAGTACGGGGCACACTGACCACATGTCTCTCAACCAGTAGCACATCACCTGCCAAGGCAATCTCCAGGGCAGCTGCATTTGAATCCACTCAAGATGCGCTCTGACTTGTGTGAAGCTTACACCAGACACCACCATGCCACTGGCAGGGCAACTGGCTGCGAAGGAAACGATTCCTACTACTTCGTCGAAGCTTGGGCTTCCTTGTTGTTCTATTGTGGAATTTTTGTATTCCATCGCATCCCGAAGCACCGCTGGACCGCCCGAGTCACCTGCAAAATGTCAGCAACACAGATGCAAAACACAATAACGCGAGTCTTGGGATCACCAGGTGCACTGCAATGGTTCTTCTTCCACTCCACATCACTAGAAATAATGCAGCAGCAAAGGACAAGTGTCTAGACAAACTCTCATCACACAAATAAACTCCAGGTCTGGACTATGAGCAATGCACTGAGAGGTGGTTACCAGTGCAGTACTCTTTGATCCTGAGGGAAGCTCAATTGTGCTTCCAAAGTAGTTTACAGCCAGGGTACAGCAGCACGAATAAGTAAAGCCATCAGAACAGGATACTCTAGACAAAATTGTGGCAGAAACCGCAATACCGACACAAACAACCACGAAAGTACTTTCATACAAATTCTCTACAAAACTAACAGGTGGTCACGCATGCTCTGTGACCACACCGGTTTCGTCCAGCCCTCACCATCGCTTATTTCATGCCCATAGGAAGCCCCGCAAATCATGCCCTCCTTCATTTTATCAGCAATGCCACAGGGGCATGTGCGGTTCCCCACCAGCACAAGCTCTGTAGTCACTTTTAGAAACTGCTTCCCTTCGATAGGAGGCACACCCAAGCCATACCCAACCGCCACGGCTCGTTTGTTTCCGCCATCGTCTGTCTCCTTGTGCGGAAGCCTTGGCATCGCCACACCCTTCACTGACTTTTCAAGCCTTGCCAATGCAATGTCACAACCATTGAATACATCGTCTGGCTTCCAGCAGGCAGGCCAAATGAACTCCTCCACCCCTACGGCCTGCATCAGAACGATACGTAATTCTGAACAGAGGACAGCAGCTCTTGTGTTAGCGCCAACGATGGGACTCTAAAGCAGCTGCCAGCACCGCGCCAGAGGTACAACTGGTCTGGTTTCCCATGTTTCTGGAAGCACACCATTTTCATGTGTATGTAGCTGTGCTTATATACCCATTGTGCCACTTGAGGCCAAACCTGGAAACCAGCAAATACCACAACTGTATTTGCAAATTGGCCAGAAGCGCAGACTTTGAAGGAAACCCTGGCCTTCTGCACGCATGCACCCAGCCCCCTGCTGCAGGTGTTTCCACAGTACACTATGTGTGAAGAACTCTAGAGTAAGAACTTGGTGCGCTACTTGTATTTTGACTCAAGTTACAAGTATGCTCAAATAAGGCAGCGTAACACAACCTGCAGTGGCCCACCATAGCCACCAATCACAACAGCATTCACCTGGACGCCTTTGACACCCTCGTTGTCCTGTATTTCTTCAGCCCCGATGTGTGCTGGAGGATTGGGCCCCAAACTTTCCATGCAGTGCGCCGCTGTCAGAACGAAGCGTGGGTGGATCAGCACCCCACCACACCTGTGTGCTCGGATGCCGGATTTGTCCCTCAAACTCACCATGTACGGGAAGCGCCCACTGGGAGCCTGCAGAAAGTGGTAACAATCAGAAACGTGGCCAAGCTTGATTTGCTCTTTGGTCGCTTTGTCAAAAAGGCTGTGTGCTGTTATCAAAGAGCGGGGCAAGAACAGAAAGTCGCACAGAAAGCTAATGTGTGAAAGTAACACTTCTATTTGCTTTTGCTCTTTAGGGGGGTGGGGTGAGGGTTCATGGAATAGAAAGTCGCGGATGTCTCCAAGTGTGTCGGGAGAAGCGCAAACCACTGGCCAGCACGATCAGTCAAGCATACAGGTGGAAAAGAAAACGCAGGCCAATGTGTGTGTACAAAAGCACCTGCTTAGCAGGAAAACTCATGTGGCAACTGCGAAAGCTGTCAACAAACCGCAGCTTTGTTTTCCCTTACCAACTTTTGGTTGTGATGTTCATCAAAAGCATTAAAATTCCTGGGCCAATTACACTCCGTCGAGTGACACCCTTGTGGCAAAATTAACTTTCGCGTTTAGAACAAGAAAGAACTAAAAGGTTAAGGACTATAAGGACCATGGAAATGTGTTTTGTGTATGCAGAAAGGCAGGAAATTCTATATACACGCATTCACGACATAACAATGCTCACCTACAAACCAAAGCAGAAGTGACCTTGGAAATGACTTTTTTCTCTACAAAATAATTGGCCGTGTGATTTCAAAATGTTTGCCACAGTTGTTGTAAATACAAACACCATTGAAATATTTGGTGTCTCTTTTGTTATTGTCAACCTTACCATTTTATTATATCCGCAGACCGAACTATTCAAATGGTACAGTTGTGCTTGTCAATCGCAACGCACCTTTATCACAGGCGAGTAGCCCCTTTCCCAAGGCGATGAACAGGTATCTGTGAAACAAACAGAGAAAATGAGGGAAAAAAATGATGGAATCAACATAATTATTTGAAAGAATGAAACACATGGAGCTAAAAGATGACTTCAAACTATCCTCATTGTAATTGAATCCTGAATGGCCTGCAAGTTTCTGCTCATATGCAAATGTTTGCATTCGACAAAATAGCATCAGTGAGTTACTGCAACCTTGCGCCCAATGCATAACAACCGTTTGCATTGTTAGGGTAAAAGTGCATACTGAGATTGCTCTGCCCTATATCAAGTGAACAGCTTGATGCGGAAGTTGTTTTTCACAATAACTGAAATGTGTGGGCTTCTGTTCATGGGAATGAACATATCAGGGACATCTAAAACAAGCCCAAAACGCACTGCAAGAGACACTGCACAACACATACATGAGCACACACTGCAGCACATTGTTCCAGTGACTCCAACTGCATGAACAAATCCTCCATCTCTTGGCAGCAGTGGAGCTCGCTTCAGAGCAAACCAGAACTGTGGCACAACATGGGAACTCGATCGCCACGTACTTCGTATTGCAACAATTCAAAGAAGGATTGGGTATAAACCACACCCGCGGGGCACACACAGGTATTCCTCATGCATATTGCTGTTGAAAGCAATACACCTCTGGACAACGGCTGTTTCTGCAAAGGACCAATATGAAATATTGGACAGGTTGACAGTACACTGCAGCTCATCCAAGGCTGTGATTTACCACCTGCAGCAAGAATAATGTCTGGATCAAGCATGGAGGTCTTCAACACTCCAGATGCCACATGACATTCCTCCAGGAGAATCAACACAGAGAGGATACATAAAAAGCATGTAGAGGGTATGTCCCAGCCTCTTTGACCTGCCACACCAATGTGAAGGGCATTATTATCTAAGTGATGAAATTAGAAAGAAGCCATTTAGTATCTGTCGTTTTCAAACCAATCTGGAAATGTGCACCCCGACACCCATATTTAAATGTGTGGGTTAATTCATTTCAGCTGAAAATCAGGAAGACGAGTCACCCAAACACCTCCATTGCTGAGTGAAACTGTGAACTTCTCCATGTTTTCTTCTCTCTAAATGTGTTTCCTTTCCCTCCACTGGCAGTACTAAGGTCTGAATGGAAATGAACACCGACAAGGGCTGCAGGTGCAAATACCTGTGACTGGGATCAGTGGCCCATGTCGCACCATTCTAGTGAGAAGGTATTGACTTGTCATGCACTATATGCAATGAAAAGACGGCTGGATGTGCTGCTGCTTCTGCTGCATCAATGTTAAAATCCTTTGCATCACAGCAACGCGCCAACACCGATTCCATTCTTGGTTGTTCCACAGGTCCTGTTGGTACTGTACTTTGTATCCTTGTCGATCATGACAGCTGCCAGGGATTGTTCAGAGATCTCCAAATGCAGGAGTAATACCAGGCTGCACAGAGTTGAAAGAGAAGAAAAGAAACAAAGTGACAGCTAGTGGGAGTGGGGCAGCACATGGACGAAACCCCAGTTGTGAGTGTCATGATGGGCTTCGGCTGCATGTCACAGAAGTCCATCTCTAAATCTAAACCTAGGTCTCACATTTTGATAGTAAACCATATGCAAGACCAAAACCAGGGATTGAGACTGATCACTGGCTTGTTCATGGCCAGGTGCTTGACCCACAATAGCCCTGAGCCACCCCTCCTGGTATCTCAACTGATGCCTGAATTCGGTTCTCATGGCCCTGGCTGAAGACATACATGGGAAACAATCAAGAGCCGAGGACCACCTTGTGAGATGGCACCCAACAAATCACCTCAGCTTGTCAGAAGTCCTCCACAATCCCATAGGCTGACAACCCCTCCGTCCTGGCCCCAAGCGGGTCTTAACGCATTCAACCACAATGGCAACCGCAGCTGCCACAAATTTGGGTAAGATGGGTCAGATCGTTTCGCTGGGCGTGCTCCTCCCAATATCTGCTTTCATCGCACTCACCCTTCCCAGAATTTCAACTAACAAGTAGCTCCACTGATCCTGACAGGATGACCTGGGGGAGCTTGGGTACGTCCACACGAAGGCTCAAAGCTCTACAGGCTGCGCTGTGCCAGTTTTCCGATAGTCCCAGTCAAGGCGGATTTCAGGGGCCGCCAGATGGCGACCCTGCGCGGGGAACGGGGCAGAGTTCGCTTCATCAACGCACTACGCTCAACCCACGAGCTTCCTGTGCATGTGCCTCCATTTTGCACCAGGATTTAGGCGCACCTCATTTCAATGCGATGTGTCGACGCGTCACGCATTCGGCCAGTTCCTCCTCGAGAAGGGAAACGCGGCTGGCAAACGCGGTCGCGGTTCCCTCCAACCTCTCCCACCACCATCACCTCAATGGCGATCCGAAATGGACGCGCCTGTGTGTTGGCAACCACCCACCCGCTGCGCTCGGATTAGGAACGGGACCGGATGTCGGCCCAACAACGCCACTTCCGCGCCGCTCCGCCCGGTTCGCGGGGACCCCGACGCTCGCCTCAAACTCGTCCAAAAATGAGGATCCGCTGCGAGAGGCCCACTTCCAACGCCGCTGCGCCCGCCCTTCGAGACGGACAGACGGTCCCTAACCCGCGGATCACGCCCATGCGACGGGAAGGTGGCTCGGAAGCCGCTCAAAGCGCCATCCCCTTCGAACCGCCTTCCACAAACACAGCGCAGCTTTTTGGGGCCCTCCGCGTCGATCCACGGCCACAATGGGCTCTCGGCCATCGAAACCCTAAGCCCTAAGACCGTGGCTACCGGCAGGCCGCCTCAAGCAGAACAGAATCCCGCCGGCTCCCCAAGCCGGGAACGTTTCGGCCGCGGTGGCCGAGAGGCGCGGCGTCCATTTTCCACTCGCCTGGATTGTCATGTCCCGCCCCGCGCCCTCGCCTGACACATTTTCGAGCCCTAGGCATCGCTCAGACTCTCCCGGTGCTTCCCAGGGCTCAGGGGCCTTCCGAAGGGAGGGCCTGCACCGCGCACGTTGAACAGCAGCGCGGCCGCTTCTCGCCGGCACCGCGGAGGCGGGCTATGAATTGAGCCCGACCTGTTTCAATGCTGTTTCATGTGTGAAAATTTCAACTTGGAGTGAATCAACTCTGACCCTGGATGTTGCCATTTGCTCGGTGGACCTTTCGGTTGGCCAGGGCCAGCGTCCAGCGTGTGGGGATGAAGCACGAAGATGGTACGGAGAGACGAACGAGGCACGGTTGTGAACGAATGAGAGCGGAGCGTATAGTTCGTGGGGCAGTTGGAGGGCGCTGCGGTAGAGGTTGTAGAGGAGGGAGTGAGGAAGATGGATAACGGGTAGGGACCCTAGGAACGTCGGCGGGCGGACGGGTCCAGGGCGCTGGCATAGAGGGTTGCGGTTGGGAAATGGGCAGAATTGGTATTAGCTGTGGGATCAAAATGGGCATAGGAAGTCGTGGGATTTGATTCGGGCATAAGCCAAGCCAGAATAGCTGGGGCGGATGGCGGAATGTTCTGTTTAGTTGGTGACCTTCAAAGAGGTTGGCCTGGACGGCCTTGGCTGGCCTGGATGGTAAAAGCACGAGGTGATCGCCACGCACAAAAACAACCTGCGTGTAACAAGCAGTGGGTTCATGCCGGAGCCATCGATGGCGAAGGCCAAGGGTTAACAACCCTGTGACTGCGCCAGGGGACACCCTCTAATGGGCCGGTCAGCCGTGCTGCAATCCGTTTGCACCGTTTACAAGCGCGGCATGTTCAAATACTCTCCTTGTTAATGGACTCCTCGTATGTGTGGGGGTGGTTTGCTGCACCCTGAACCTCGACAAGCAAATTCCAACACAAGTGGGGGCTCAAGCAAAGAAAGACCGCACGACATACAAAAGGTATCCTCGGCGTCTGTTTGGTAATCTTGCAGCTGACCCGGCTGGCCTTTGCCCCTCTTGGTCGCCGCAGCTAGATGGAAAGTGGCGGCAAGTATGTCGCATTACCGCATTATCTCGTTTTTACATGTTAAGGTTGGTCAATTTTCCAAGGTCGCCAATATCCACACCATCCAGGCGCAGAACGCAAGAACGGTGAGATAAATCGAAGGGAAACGACTAATTCAGCCGGCCAAACTTTTGCCCGAGCCAAGTGGAGTATCTGGGGCTCAAGAAATTCTCCAGTGATCCCCTAGAGTCGACCGTCTATGTGCAAGGGAGTCCTTGCTCATCATCTTCGGGGCCGTTGGTGGGTAAACGACACCCGTTGGAGCAGTCCAAGGATGGTCGGGGACTGCCGGGTGGTGCTTGCTGGAGCACTGTGGAACGATGGCATGTGGACGCTCGGTGAGAGCTGCTCTGGCAGCTTCCTTATTCCTGCGTTTCAAGCAGTTGCAGGTGATCCTCGATGGTAGGCTCCAAAGAGCGTGGCAATATCCATTGCAATTGGCAAATGTATGGAGGCGGCTTCAAAAGGTTTGTACGGGGAAAATGGAAGGCAAGTGTCCCTTCCTCAGGTTGGCTGGCTGTTCCTTGCGCTACCACTCATGTCGGCAGGCGTGGATGACCTGGCGGTCAGGAAATTGGTCAAGGCAGTGAACATGGTCGAAATCGTATTGCTGGAGCAAGCAACGCCCTCGAAAATGCACTGCAAAACAACTTGAAGTGAGCAACATTGCATACAATCTCTTTCCCCCTCGTCAGCAGAATGATGGTGCGACCCTATTCCATTCTGTGACAGATGACGCGAAATCTCTGGAGGCAGTGTGAAAACCCTCCAGCACGCATAGCGCCTCACAAGCATGCACCCACCATAATTTCGATTTGATGCTGACTTCCAGCAAAACTGTGGTACACGTCAAGTCAAACCGACCAAACATCTGGCCCTGACATGTATGCTGGTGACACATTCATGTCCCTGAACTGGTGCTGTCGATCCAAAGACGGCACAGCACACTGACAAGCTTGCTAACACTAGCTAGGCCTCTATCAAGCACTGCAAGTCATGCTAGCCTGGTTGAAAAAATGGACAACAAGATGGGCACGTCAGCGCTGACTGATCAGTCGCTGCATCAATTCATGAATTGTCCAGATTCAGTGTAAAGCCGGATGGATGCAAGCAGCTCAACTATCGTAGACACTCTTGGTGACTGACAGTCTGTTGCACGGACCGCAACACCATGTCCACATAGTCCTCTTCTTCCTTTCCTTGGGACTCAAGCGACTGCACCAGAATCTCAAGCACATTCTCCTGGATTTTGCTCAGTTCATTTTTTGTGAATTCTATTTGCTTACTCAGCAAGCTGCACTCCTCTGCAATGATGCGTGAGCCATCTCCAGCGCCCACTTCCCCAATAAAGTCGTTCGTTGTGCTACGTGCGTTCATGCTTCCAAAACTTCTGCACCTGGCCAGCTTCCTCTCCAATTCCCCCAACACAGTTCCCACTCCGTCTGCATAACGTGATCGCAGCTCCCTGGCCCTTGTTGCGGCTCCAGCATTGTTTTCTTCAGACACATCCGTTTGCAGCTCTCGGAGGGATGTATGGCACACGTGGTGAAATTCGTGGTATTCCTCATCATGGAGGAGTTTCCCCAGGAATTGCATAATCAGGAATCTTGCCTTCCTGTACCGATCCAGGGGCTGTCCAGCCAGACGGCTCACTGCCCATGCACACTCAATAGTCAAGTCCTTCAGTATTCTTCCAATGCTAAGAGTGAAATCGACATTTCGGAGTTTCTGACGTTCCCGGAGGATGCACAACAGGCCTCCATACTGTCCGCTTCCCCTCAATGCCCGCAGTCTGACAGTGTTGTCCATGCCTTTGTTCTCAATTATCCGCATGAGGACAATGGCCAGCCCTTCAACACTCTCCGGCCCCATATTCAAGAGCTCTTGAGACTTGTTCCCAATAATCGCTTCGAAATCCTCAACCTGGGCGATCCCCAGGGCTGCCCACCGCATCTCATGCAGGGGCAGGTACCACGGCATGCTCTTGCACTCATTGCCCTCCCGCCACTTCTTAAAAAATTCATGCATGGCTGTGAGCGTGCCGCAGAATGCGGTGGCTGGGTTGCGCTTCATGGCACTTGCTACAGCTGAGATCCCACTGTCCAAGCAGTCCGACAGTATCAGTCAAAGGAACATAGCTTGATTACTGCACTCCCCACCCTCAAGGCAGGCACTGATGCCACGTTATCTCTATGAACATACAACATGCCCTGGCAACCGGTAGGAGCAGCATCACCTGGTGCTGGATGGCGTCCATGGACAAGATGCCTATGAGCTCCACGAAAACTGGTGACACGATGTCCATCACCAAACGCTCCCCTCTCTGCTCATGCAGCGCCCACCTCTCGCCATGCTTCAAAAGCTGCTTGGCTTCCTTTTCCGCCTCTCTTAGATCAAAGATCTTGCTATCCAGCTGGTCTCTTATTCTTCTTGCTGACTGTACCAGACACATGAGGGTGATAGGGTTCTCACCAGCCGGGGTGGCCATTTGTCAAATGACCCCCGAAATCGCCACAGTTTCTTTGCTCAAATGGTTGTCCACAGTGTCTGCTGCACTGGGTGATCTGCAGGGAGGTTTGTGCAGATGGGCCTGGCTGCAAATCACATCGATAGTCAATCTCTTCAGCAGCTTGAGGCTGTCACAGTTCTTGTCTGCTGGTAGCTGTTGATTACAACGCAAGCAGCTTTATGGGCACATAGACAGTGCTCACTGTGATCAAGATGCAAGCATGGAGTCCCATAGGCTGTATATTTATAGTGCCGGGGAAACATCTACACAACAACACAAAAGCAATTGCACCCCTCACTGACAGCAAGACACAAGGGCTGACATTTGTCGTGCGCTTCTGGCAACTTTAACAATGGGATTCACAAGTCTACTGTGCCCCCCAGCACACATATTGTCAAAACTGTTGCGCATGACCCACAGAGCATCAGACCGTTCCTGCGACCCCCGCAGGTGGTGGACCTGAGATTACAACCCGGCATCGCGAGAACCAGGCCTACAAAGACGCCCCAGCCCAGCGCGCGGCGCCTCCGAAAAGCGCGACAAAGTGACCCAATTGATGGCCGTTGCTTCGATTAATGGGCCTACAGATGCTGGCCTTGATGGGTGACACCACAAACATCCGCCCCGCCTCCCTTCCCCCTTTGCTGCCACGAGATATGGTAGGTTCACAACCGCAGCGCCGCGTATCCTGTGACCAACGCTGACACAGGCCACGGTCCAACGACGGCAAGGCGCGCGGTGCAGTCATGGGGGCAGCCCGGGCGCCCAAAAGACGGGCCCGGAAAAGCCATGCGGAAAATGGGCTCGGAAAAGTCATGGGATAAAAAACGGCGTTCACGGGCTGTTCGCGACGCCGCGAGGGACCGTCGGCGGCGGCCATCGGCTGGATATGCGTTGGTCTGGGGTCGCCGCCGCCTGACCTGACCTGTCAATTCAATGCCCCAAACCTTGAACCCCGCCCCCATCGCCCATCCCACCGTCACCCCTGCACGCCGTTGCTTGCACTGGGCTTCGGCAACGCATTCGCGGTCTTGTGCAGGCAGGGGCCGTGCATAACACAGCGCATCTCACTGCCAGGGAAAACACCATTGCTTTTCCAGTCAGGGTCCCATCTCGACGACGCCCCTGCCACCCATGGGACTGCCGGATCGCTCACCTTTGCGTCCGAAAAATGGGTCCCACCCCAACGAGCGAAGCACTGCAGGCCCTGCGTCGCAGCACACCACAGTCAATTTTTGTGGAAGCCGCGACCGAGACTTTCCCCCGGAGACAAGGCCAGCACGCCTACCCCCCCACCCCCCTTACCCAACCGGGGGTTGTAAAAGTCACCACCAGTGTCACTTTGGACGTCAGCAAGGGGCCCCAAGGGCTCCCCTTTGGTCCTGCGCCCGTGCTTCGCCTAAACCACAGAAAGTTTCGTGTCCTGGGGACACCAAAATCAATATT